AGGCCCTGTGAGCTGGCATTTATTCCCCTGCAGATGTCTGGGTCTCTGCAGTCATTACAACAGCAGCTGCAGTGGGCAAGGCTGGGCTTGAGAACTGCCACGTGAAGAGTTGTCATCCTCCTCTTCCTCCTCCTCCAAGGGTCTCACTTAACTGGAGAGGTGACTGTGGCTTGATTGCTTACTTCCACCAAAGGTATCCCACTTACCAATGAGTATTGTCAAAGGAAGTTAAAAAGTATCCCGATTAGCTCAGTTATCTTCCTTGATGGGGATTGCTTAGAGGGAATGTTCCTTTCAATGGAGTCCACCATTGATTTGGTCAATTAGTTCCTACTGCCATAAACATCTTTATCTCCTGTCATGCACTTTATGTTATTTGCAAACCAGACGAGTCCTGATTGTTTTTCTCTGGGGTGTTTGCAACTCAATGTTCAGTTTTCATTGGCACCCTCCTCCCTGCACCCACCTGGAATGCTGTGTAGCAGGGAGGGAAGCACATGAAGCAAGTGCTTCAGGCCACACGAGGAGGCCTTCAAAGCTTGCTCAGGAGCTACTTCTCAAATATTTGCAAGTTTAGTTGATATTTCATCAAAGAAACATCCCAGTTAAAGAATCAACTTGGATTTCTTGTTAAATCACCACAGAAGAACACTAAGTTTTCTTTTAACAGTGCTTAACAACATGGGAGGAAGCAAGACAAAAAATGTTCCTACTACTAAGGAACAAAGGAAGAGAAAGTGCAAAACTGACTGTCATGCACTATTTCTAAAAATAGGCATACTACATTTTTCTGTAGAGCAGCAACTGCTCCTTAAAATGACATCAAATAAAATACACTTGACATTGAACACTGAAGTCTTTGTTTGATATCCCCCCAACTTTATCATTCTTTCATTTTTCCACTCCTCATGACACTGAGATATTTCAGCCTTGCCTGAAATCTTTCTACAGCTTTATTAAACTGACTGCCTTTTTGACATGAGCTGTTCCAGTTGCAATCCAAACGCTCCTGAGCAGCACTTTGTGTATTAGTAATGCATTAACATGAATTTCCACCAGCTACTCCCCTCCCTCCCTCCTTCTACTACAGCAAAACATAGCTGTTACCTAATTTCTTGTTTGAATTATTAATATTTTGTGCACTCTGCTACTTGTTATTGCCTCACATTAATTTTTCAAACTTTGCCACTGTTCCTTACTTTTGTTTATGAAAGAAAGTATTTTTGTGCTATTCTATGATCTGTTTCTAAAATATCACAGAATAATCCAGATTCCCCTAGGATGTTTTGCTTGGTTGGTTGGGGCTTTTTTCCTTCACAGCATTTTAGCTTCCTTGTTTCATTTTCTTAAACAGTTAAATGCTAATGAAACATGACAAAGACATAAGTCTCTTGTCTGCATCTTTCCAGGTCATTTGCACGTAACTGAGACAAAGAGATACCAGCACCACAGCATACATCCTCTGTAAGAGCAAGCAGCCCTTTTGTGCTTCTGACATTAAAAGGTATGTAGTTATTCAAGTCACCATAAGGTGACACATATATATATATAATATACTAATTTTTTTTAGAGCTGAAATGCATAGAATTCAGCAATATCAAAGATTTGAACAGAAGGAACGGAAATCATATGTGATGGAGACACTGATATTGAAATCCATTGCATGAGCTTGGTGTCTTTAGCAGCTATGTTCTGACCTTTGCTATGATCTTCCTTGTTCAAGCATGGCATAACCAAAAGATCTATTTTTTACATAAGTGAACCTGAGAAGCCAGTCTAGTTTTCTGCAGTAAGGTTAAATGAGGGTGCATTCAGTGGCTTCTGTTGTAAATGTTTTCCAAACTGAGGTTTGGAAATTACAAAGTGGAAAAACGAGTGAAATGTGTGTGAAACTGAGGCATCCATCCAGCTTTGTGGTAAGTGAAGATAATGGCCCTGATGTCTCTCTAGATGAACAGCTGATTGAAATCCTGGGATCTCTTGATCATGACAAAACTAGGTTTCATCCCACCTGCAGATGAGTGCTCCCTGTACCATTCCTATTGCCATCACTTTCTTCTGGGGGTGCAGAGCCTTGCCCTTTTCCAGAGCCCCTTGCAAATGCACCCATCACAGTCCCATACTCTCCTCAGCTCATGTGGGATCCAGCTCCCACTCTGTGAGACCCAGCTCCCAGGTGGAATCCACTTTATCAGTCAAAAGGATCAGCCTCAAGGTCAACTTTGCTCTCCTGGGACACTGCTGGCTAAAGCGAAACTGAGCAACATCACACAAGCAGAGCCATTGCCTGGTCCCCCAGAAGCACACAGGGACAAAAAGAGAAGCAAACAACATAAATGGCCTCTGTGCTCAGCTTTTACCTAATGCTGATCATCTCCAAGTACCTTGAGTCCCTTTTGAATGTGATCTGCAATGTCTTGGCTCAGATGCCCTCCTGTATCTACCCAGGCACTGCCTCAGCAAGTTCCAGTGTCTTGTCTGTGCCAGGAAACTCAGGGTCCAGCTCACCAGGGTCCCTTTACCACCACCCCAGTCTGGGACTCGTGGCCTTCTCTCCTCTGCCCTGTGCAGCCCGGGAAATCCTCCTGACCATGCCTGTGGTCCACACTCCTACTTCCTATTGCCCTCTGTGAAACGGGCTTCAGTTGACAAATATTTGCAGCCACTTGCACAGTCCAAGGCTGGAAGAAATAGCCAGACTGGGGGTTTTAAGTTTAAGATGCCTTTTGAAGAATTCCTGTACTTAAGCCTTACCTGCAGAAGCTCAATCCAAAGGTGACGGTAACTTAAATTATCAAAACCTCATTCTCTACCTTTTGTTGTTAAATCCCAGAAACTGCTTTGTCTCATCTGAAGTGTCCAGATTTTTTCCATGCTTGCTTCAAAAATTCCTGTAATAATTACTTTTGCTTTCGGACACATTGCTGCTGTGTGACTGATGATGAAAAGATTTGAAGGGAATTTTGATTAGATCCACCTCTTGTAGGTAGGGTTTACTGTTTTATGGAGAAAATAATGTGAGAAGAAAATGGTACTTTGACCATCACTTAAGGTTGGAGTTTAGTATTTAAAAAATATTTCTATATTTAAATAATATAGCTAAATTTAATCTCTCCATTCTAAAAACCACCTCCAATTTTGGATTTTCTTGGCTTGGTTAACAAACAGTTCTCCAAAACAGTGCTTTGCAACTTCACTCTCCTGCAAAATCAGCATTTGGTCTCTTTCAATACCAGTGTTTCCAGTGTCAAGAAATGTCAGGAACGAGAACCTGGGAATTATATCTACTGTCAGAAGCCTTCCCAAAGCTTCACTTCAGAAAGTGAAGTAAACCTTGTAACCTTGCTTCTGAGGGAAGGTTGGAAAATAGGATCCATCCTTCATACAGCCAGGATCTCCAGCCAAAGTGAACAATGTTTCCCTCATCTTGTTAATCATGCTTGGGTTTTCAATCTTCCTTGTCTGTCAGAGAAACATAATTGAAATTATTAATATTACCATAGCCTATCACCTTAGCAATGCATCACAGTTAAGGAGTTATGGATGGACCTGCAACTATAGCTTTTGTTACTATTATAGAGTATCTTCAGAAGAGCATTGGGTTTTGACCTTGGAGTCCATCCTATCTCAGCCTGATACAGCACCTGTTCTGAATTTAGCCCAACCAAGTATTTAGCCATCCAAGGATTACTCTGCTAATACCAGTTCAAGACACTACAGCAACAACTTCAAGCAAACATGAAAGGAAAACTGGAGGAATAAGAAAAACTCACTTTAAAGTCTTACCTTGTCAAAGAAAAAAAAAAAGATGCCAGGGAGGTTTGCAGTTACTAAATGACTTCTGCCTTTACCAAGTGTTTCAGTATTGTTACTGTTCTTAAATAACCACAAAAGCTATTCGTTTTCTAATACTCCCCAGTGTCAGGCTTGTTTTCCCTTATTAATGTAAAATATGGAATCTGTGTCAGTGAATCCATTTTTCTGTCTTCTGGCAGTCTGGGGGGAAAATCATGTCCCGGGGCGCAGCATCACACCCGGGCAAGGGAGGGGAATGTCTTGCTCTGAGCTGGGGCAGCCTCACCTCGAGTGCTGGGGGCAGTTCTAGTGCCATAATATAAAAATGACATTAAACTATCAGAGTGTCCGAAGTAGGATTGTGAAGACGGTGAAGGGCAATGAGGTGAAGCTGTATGAGGAGCACCTGAGGTCACTTGGTCTGTTCAGCCTGAAGGAGACTGAGGGGAGATTTCACTGTAGTCTACAACTTCCTTGTGAGGTGAAGAGAAGGGACAGACACTGACCTCTTCTCTGTGGTGACCAGGGACAGCACCTGAAGGAATGGGCTGAAGTTGTGTCAGGGTAGGTTTAGGCAGGATATCAGGAAAAGGTTCTTCACCCAGTGGGTGTTTGTGCACTGGAACAGGCTCCCCAGGGAAGTGGTACAGCACCAAAACTGACAGAGTTCAAAGAGTGCTTGGACAGTGCTCTCAGGCACACGGTGGGATTCCTGCAGTTGTGCTATGCAGGGCCAGGACTTGGACTCAAGAATCTGTGTGGATCCTTTCCATTTCAGGATATTCTATGATTCTAGAAATGAAGAAAAAGAAAGATGACATGACACCATGCCTGTTTGTGTCTGCAAGTCTTGCCCCAGGGTTGTCTTCCCAGAACATACAATTTGATGCTTGTGTACTAAAAAACTGATGCAACAAATGTTTCTTCAGAAAATGTTACCCCTAGGTTATTTATGAAGCTGAAACTAAAAATGTTCCCTCTTTGTTTTTTTTTTTTTCAATTTTTTCTTTCAGCGCCTTGACACTGATTCAGTTGAAGTTTTTATGTGGTAAAATGAGTGCACATTCTCCTGGCTTGAAGAGAGTAAAAGAGACTTAAATAAGCTCAGCACTTTGCAAATGTCTCTGCTTTCTAGCGCTGAAAAGACATGGACATTGCAGGATGTCTGTAATGTTAAATTTTGTCCTTAACTTTCAGATAGCATCCATTTCAGCCCTGTGCTCCCCTCTAAGACAGGAATGTCCTCCTCATCCTCTTCAGCACTGGAGATGGAGATCTTCCAGTACATTGATGCACATCAAAGTGATTTCATCAAGGTAAGAGCTATATTGCAGTGAAATTATGAATACAGACCTGGTGCCTCAGAGCCCCTGAGCTCCTCTGGCAGGAGAACTGCCTGTCACAAAGGTAATGAGCAGAGGTCCAGGTCTGGTATCAGGAGTGCAGCATGCACTTCACACAGCAAGACTGTTAGGGGACAGACTGCTGGGGACCCCTGGGGTGAAGGAGGGACTTGACTGGACTTCCACTGACAAAATGGCTGTGGGCATCCTTTGAGTGTGTTCACTAAGACAAAATGCACCTGCATGGGGCATGCAAACCAGATAGGATGCTCTCTGTCTTTGCTTCAGAACTGATTTTTGTAGGTTTGCTCTTTACGAGGAGAAGTCTTAGTCCCATGTGGGTTTGTGCTTTCATTTTTGTCAGCCCTCTGTTAAAGGACAGAAACATAATTAGTCCAGTCAGTATCAGTTATGCTTTGAATCTATAAGCACTTCTGAAAGAATCCTCATGAGAATCACCAAGGTAAGTTGTACATAATGCAATTTCTATAAATCAAACTAGTCAGCATCTAGTCTACCTTCTCTTCCACTGGATTTTAGATCCGGGGTTGACAATGTGAATGCCTAAGTGTGAGCATCCTCCCTGTTTAGAAAATCAGGAATCTCAACCCTGGGGAGACATCTAAGTGATTCTTATCTATCCTGAAACTTTAGAGCATCTGTGATAATGCTGTGATGACACAGAAAGGAAATAATTTTCCAGTGTGAGATTTCTGATACAAGGGCCAAGGACAACAACATTCTGCATCACCTAATTGCACATTTTTTTCCTGTGCAGGATCTGAAGGAATGGGTGGCTGTGGAAAGTGATTCTGTTCAACCTCATCTGAGGAAAGAAGTAATGCAAATGGTGGCATTGGCAGCAGACAGACTTGCAGCACTGGGAGCCACTGTTAATTCAGTAAACTTGGGGTCACATCAGGTGCTTATCTGATCCTTGGACTTAAAGCATCACATCTACACATGGGTCTACCTATAGCATTCGGTGCTATGTACGTGTATGTTATGACAAGTGTTATTTTTTGAAAGCTAGATACAAATTTATCAATAGTCCTGTACATGGTACCTGCTGAAATCAGGTCTGAGAACTGAACATACTGGGAACCACACAGGCAATCCAAATGCAAATTGATGTTCTGTTCATAGGAGGGAGTTTGATGCTTTTAACTAGAGGGGAGCAGTTTGCAAAAGTAAAAGGACTGAGTTTTTTTACTGCGCTTGTTTTAAAATTTTTGTCTGTAATGAAGCATGAGAACTAATGCATCACTTGTCACTGAACTTTCTTTATGAGGGAGAGTGTTTTTACAAGGAAAATGTTGTCAAACAGAAAGGGTTAGCTACCTAGAGCATCATCTTTGGTTTTCAGAGCTTCTGACAAATGATCCAAGCCATTTTCTTTCATTGGAAAGCAACAGAGAAGAATTCGTCTCTGAGAAACCTTAGTCTCTAATTTACTTACCTTACTGTAGCCATGAGCTCTTTTCTGCCCTGGCTGTTACATTTCTACTCTAACAGGAATTCAAAAGTTCAATAATAGTAATTCTCTTTTCTCTGAGGCTTTTGGTGAGGATTCTGATTCTTAGCACAGGGACCCTGAAGTACAGCAACACTTTAATATTTCAGGTCGTGTTGTTTGATAGTTGCAGAGAATGCAATTCTCTGTGTGGCGCTGTGTTCTGCACAGAGCCACATTAGAGGACTAGCCTTAACCTGTTTTTAAGACAGTCTGACATAGCTGCTGCCTCCTGCCAGCAGCACTTTTTTCAGTTTCCACATTTGAGCTTACAGGATTCCTGCCCTCTGTCTGTGGTGAAATCAAATTCCAAATTAATTTGTGCGGTTTTTGACTATTTCAGTGTCACAATAGACTCCATAGCACAAGGTTATCTCTGTCTTCTCCAGTGCTGGGAAGTGAGAGCTTAGTGAGGAAGGCATTTATGACAATAAAATGTTAGAAGAGCTCCACAGAGTCCAGCAGGAAATAAACAGTTGGGGTTCATTTCTCTGAATAGGTTAGAACTGGATTCAGTCAGATCTGTGCACCTAATCAAATCAAAGTCAATTGAGTGTAGAGGTATTTTCAATACTGAAAACTCCAGATTTTTTGTACATTTGTAAGTTTTAGAAAGTTTGGTTTTCCTTAGTTGCCTTTTTTTAACCATTCTTCACAGCTGCCTGATGGCCAAGTCCTCCCGCTGCCTTCTGTGATTCTTGGGGAGCTGGGGAAGGAGCCACAAAATCCCACTGTATGTTTCTATGGTCATGTGGATGTGCAGCCTGCCAAGAAGGAAGATGGCTGGAACACTGACCCCTACACACTGACTGAAATCGATGGTGTGCATCTTTTCATAAGTCTTGTATCGTTATTTGAATACACAGCTGAGGTTCTGAGTGGGAGAAAGGTTCCTGTATATTTAACCAAAGCATGAAGATTTCTGTGGAAATCTTTGGGACATGTCCAGCATCTCTCAGCTTTGATGATTGTTCTGAGACTAGTGAGACCCATCAGTGACTGCCTAATATTTGGTGTGGAAAAGCAATGTGAGGTTAAAGATGCTTTATAAAGTATTCAATAGAGAATCCATTTCTGCTTGAAAGTTCTTACAGGATTTTTTCATCAACCACTGTCCTCCCTTGCACCTCCTGCTTTTGCTTCATGCCACTTTTGTAGTTCCACCTGCCATGCTGGAGCTAAGGAGCATTTGTGGTGGAAGAATGTGAGGAGCCCTTAATGTAATTATCCTTCCAGCATAGCTAACTGACTGAAGGAACAAAAATAATGGATAGAGGGTCAGCAGATAAGTTAGACATCAGAAATCCTGATTCCCAGGCTATAACCACTATCACCTTTTCTCATTATCTGGGATCAATTCCCAACAGCCTCACTGGCATAATTCTTCTGCCTCATTCCAGTATATATTCAGTGAGGACTGCTACAGAAGTTTATACACAGGCACAGATTTCAGTTTCATGTACAGTGGTAACTGTACATGATGGTGAAAAAGAAATTACACACTTAGACTTGTAGCTTCATATTTCTGCCATTTCTGGCATTTATCTGTAGGGTTTTTGCTGCTTGTTACCAGTTCTGAATGTGTCCAGAAGCTGTATATTGTGCAAAGCCTTAAGGCATATCTAGTAAGAACAAACAGTTCCTGAGAAGAAAAGTGAAGCTCAAAAATTGGCATGTAGCAGAAACCACAACATAATGCATATTATGCTTAAAAAGAAGGAAAGGGGGAAAAAAAAGTGTACCAGTCCATTGGAAGCACCTAAACACTCATCACCTTATGTAAAATGAGTCAGTGAAATCCTGACACTTTGATACTTCTTTCCTCCATCACTAAAACTTCTGTGGCAACTGAAATTTGCCAATTACATTGATGAGGGAAAATTCAAAGATTGCTCAAAAACTTCCCTCTTTTCTTTTTAAGGAAACCTCTATGGGCGTGGAGCAACAGACAATAAAGGACCTGTCCTAGCTTGGATAAATGCAGTGGAAACATTTAGAGCCTTGAAATTAGTAGGTATCAATGAAGATTTCTTTATTATTATTGCTAATTTTTATTATTTACTATTATTTGTTGTTATTATTTATTATATCTCTGGAGGGATATATTTACATTCCTGAATTAAGATGATGCCTCTCTGTCCCAACAGACTACATTTTGAAATATTAGCTATTTCTGATGCAGCACTTAGGGCACTGGTCCCATTCCAGTAAGAATTTGTCTTAGGGCATTTCTGTTTTGAGCAGCCTGTCTGCAATGCAAATACAGCCTTGCTGCCATTGCCCTGCAGAGAAAAACCCACAGGAAAGTATTCAATATGTATTACATACGTTACACAGCTCTGATATCCTGTTCTCTTGAGAGCTTTTAAAATGGGAAAAGAACAGACATTACAGAATGCTCATGAAGACTCGTGACTGCTGATACATTCTGCTGATCTTTGGTTTTGTCTGCCTACAAGATACATAAATTAAAGGTATCTGTGTGAAGAGAATAAGCATCTAAAAAATGTTCATCCAGAATGGCCTGTCATGTCACCAACAGATTAGATTTATCAAAGCAAATACTTTGAATGGGTACCTAGTACAAATACAATCACTCAGACATATTTCTGAGGTCAGACATTTGCCTAAATTACTACAATGACTCACATAGTCATCTTCAAATAATTTAGTAATTTTGGAGTAGTTTTACCTCCAAAGTAAAGATAAACCAAATATATTTTAGGCTTGTAACTGGCTTAGCTATCATCCTTTAAGGTGAATTTGCATGACGTATTCTGTTACTGTGCTGAGAAAGAGTTTTCTGTCCCTTGTATGACATTATGGCACAAACTGAGCATTCAGTCTTGATTTATTTTATTTTTTTTTAGAGTCCTCTTACAACCTTCTGGAATATATGTTTTTCTTGCATCTATAGTGATGAATTGACCTTGGTCTCTTCTAAGCACTAGAAAATATACACATTATTTGCCTAAACACTAGTTGTTGTAACTGGATATGGTTATGGGTCTGACATCACTTTTCAAATCACTAATAGCTATCTTGACATTTTAACAAGCAAGCAAAAAGGAATTTTTGTCATTTGAAGCCTTTCTCTAGAAAGCAGCATAGACCATCAAACAATATTCATTAATGGTTTGTTTCTAAAACTTCTGTGGCCAACTGATGATCCATTAGTGAACCCATCCATGATGCAAGTTCATTTAATTTTACATATTTGTTCTTGCTTTTAATCTGAGCATTGAATAAAAGAGAAAACATCTTAAAACCTCTAATGAGAAAATGAATTGTAACAGGAAACTAAGTTGAAATTTATGTCCCCTATGGGATGTGTCAGCATTTTCAATTCCCACTATTCCATAATGAAAGTTCTCCTAATTACTCTTGGAAATGCATCCTTATCAACCAGCAGGCTTGCAAATTTATGAGTGTTAAAAAGACAATTACAGTAGAGTCACTGACAACATTTTTATCACCATGTAAGTCTGGTGATAGACAACACTGGGAAAACCACAGCCAGTGGCTCCCACATGGGCAGTAACAGTAGAAATGTAAGAGGCAGGAAATTTTCTGTGAAAATGCAATTGCTATTACACAGTATGAATTCCTGAAGCAATTAGAATATTGAATAGCACTTAAAGAAAGCCCATTTAATGAGACATTTCAGCAAGTTTTCTGAAAAGACAAAGAAGAAAAAAAGACATCACTTATTCTCCTCTAAAAATGAAAAGTAGATAAAAACATGAGGAAGAGAATGAGTCTTTCTGGGAACCTATATGTGTCTGTCGCTGGCTTTTCTAATGTAGCAAGCCATATATCCTGCACACTCCTCCTACATCTTTCCTAACCTAACATAATTTGTACAGCAAACCACTCCTAATTTTAAAATCCTTTTGAAAAAGAATTAAAATGCTTGTTTCTTACTCAGATTTTTAATTTTTTATTTAGGCTATGCCAGTGAACTTCAAGTTTGTAATTGAAGGCATGGAAGAAGCAGGATCCTTGGGGCTAGAGAAGCTACTTGAGGAAGAAAACCAGAACTTCTTCTCTGATGTTGATTATATTGTAATTTCAGACAACTTGTGGCTCAGCAACAAGAAGCCTGCCCTCACCTATGGCAGTCGGGGAAATGCCTGCTTTTTTGTGGAGGTAAAGGACACAGGTTCACTCCAACTGAGCCTCTGACAGACAGCAATGATGTAGCTGTACTTACACCTGCATGCAGAGAAAGACTGAAGGAAAGCTTAATATTTACAAGTACAGAACTTTCTTCTGCATCCCTTTGGGCTTCTGCAGATTTCCCTCCTCATTTCAGTTCAATTAGCCTTATTTAACCTCCATTAACTTCTCCTCAATCATTTCTTCCCTTGATCCCTTTCCTATCTCATTACTGTCCTGCCACTCTTCCAGTCTCTTCTCATCCTCCCCTCTGCACATCAACTCTGTTCTCATGGACACTGTCCCTACACCTGCCTCTCCAGCTCTCTCCAAAACCATCATTTCTACTGCTCTGCCCTCTTGCAGCAGATACTGCTCAGTATAATGAATCAGCCTCAAGGGACTCAATTTGGTTGGATCTCTGGGTTTAAACACCACACAAAATTTTTGCAACCATTGGCAGAAGCAAATAAAGGTTCACTGTAGCCAACATGCTATATTTAGCAGGCAATGAGAGCTACTGTGAAATATAAGAGCAGAAATTTCTCATCTGGAAATACTTCCTGATGAAGCATAAAAGGAATTCAGAGAGAAGATTAAAGAACTTGAGAACTAAAGAAAAATCTGCATTAACCTTTATGTCTGAAAAAGAATGAATTTTTTTTTAACTGAAAGAGCCTTGGCAGCCTTGATTCAATTCTTCTAAGTCTTGGTTAAGAAAAATGATGCTATTAAAACATCAAAAATGATCTCTCCCTGCTAGTAGACAGTTAGCTGTAATGAGGTTTTGAGAAGAATAAACAAGTTCTTTGCAGGAAAATATTTTATGATAAACCCAAGTATGAAAATGTGTCTGGAAAAAGAACCCATTTAATAACTCAAATGCCTCTATTCTAAAGCCTTGTTATTCAAGAGACCTATAAATTTTTATTTGTTGCAATCTTGAATTAAGGTTGGACACATATTTTTAATATCAAACAAGATTAATTTTTGCCTTTTTTAAAGAAGATTTTGCATTAAATAAAAAGGTTAGACAGCTTGAAGAATTTATTCTCTGATGTTAGAAACAGTAATAATATGCAAATGTTTAATGTATGATGTCTTTAATCTTACTGAAGCAAAAGAGGGAGTGGAGAAGGACCCTTGCTCTCAAGTATGTGAGTGCTACAGACAGCTGAATTTCCCTCTCTGGTGATTGACAACAGAGCTCCATCTTCTCTGCCAAAGCAGATTGTTCCTAACATGATGTTTTCCATTTAATAATTAGGAAAAATCACTTACCATTCCTTTGTGATCTTGTTTAAAAAAACTGGAGCCACCAGTCACTGCAGAAAATAAACAGAGAAGAATAAGGTAGTGTTTACACGTAACCAGTGGTTTTGGTACAGGTTGAGTGTGGCAGCAAGGACCTTCACTCTGGAACTTTTGGAGGCATCATTCACGAGCCACTGCTGGACCTGATAGCGCTGCTGGGTAAGAGCACACATCATGGCTCGGGGGCAGCCGGGCAGAGCTGCCCAGTGATCAGCCTAGTGATCAGCCTAGTGAAGGTCAGGGCCACCTTTAATTGGTGTAAGGCAAGTCCAACTGAGGAAAGATCCCCAGGTTTCCAGACCTCGACACAGGTGGTGGCAGCTGAGGAAGGCAATGTCCCCAGCAAGGCCAGGACTTCAGACATGTTAAACTGATGTCAGTCACACATCAGTTAAGAGCACCTAAGGATTACAGGCAATTTTAATACATACACACATAGCGAAACCCAACCTTTTAATGCTGATTTGTATCCCAGTAGGATGATGTTTTCATGCCAGAAGCTGGGCAGACACATCACACACTACACACGAACAGTAGCTCAGTGGTTTTCTTTAATAAATATGCAGGTGTATCAATTTAGGTGTCCCAGCTTGATGGATACAAACAGTTGTTAGGCTTTCCAATTTGGTAAAAAGCTAGGTAGAAGGGAGAAGGTGGTATGATTGCCAAGGGGAAGAAAAAGGCTCCACTTGTACTGATATCTGCATCTTATTTTGTAGATAGCCTTGTGGATTCCACAGGTCGTATTCAGATCCCTGGAATCTATGACAGTGTTGCTGCCCTGACAGAGGAAGAAAAGAAACTATATGAATCGATTGAATTTGATCTAGAGGAACATAGAAATAACTGTGGTGTGAAAAAATTCCTCTATGGCACCAAGGTAACATAAAATCTGTATGAATACTCCACAGAAAGAATTTAAATCACCTCTTTGGAGCATTCATGTATTAAGCCAAACCGAAAGATATTTTCAGTCAATGGCAAGCTCAAAATAGAATAAAGGAGCACTGAGAAGTAAAAGGTAAAGAAAACTAGTCTGCTTAAAATGTTAGGCACTGCATCTGGGGAAAGTGATCTGAAATATGAATAATCAATTAAAAGGAATAATAAAAAACTAACAGTATATCTCTCTTCCTTGCCTACCCCTTCTCTCCCCCTAAACCTAATCAGCCAAATTAAATGTGAATTAAAATGTCTACATTTAGGTTACATGGTAGGAAAAAAGTTGTATTCAGCTCTGAAAAAACGGGAGGCAGTTTTAGGCAGATATGTTTTGGGTGGCTTTTATTTAATACAGATTTTGATGTCTGTCAAGCCTGCCATAAAAAGCATCCAAAGCTGCAAGCCTCTCCTTACCAGCAATTAAAAATTATGTCCAAATAAAAAAACAGCAGTAAGGGCTGGCTTGGAAAGATCTCTCTGCACAAGAGTAACAGCTGGGAGAAAAGAGTTGATTTTTTTTTTTTTTATCGCTAAGATAATTATTCTGGTGTAAGTTCTGCTAACATGGATGCTTTTATTTCCATGAAAAAAACTTTCAAATTACCTAAAGCTAGACTGTAAGAATCAAGAATACAAAAGTATGATGTAACTACACTGAGTTTTGATGCTTTACCTATATGAGGATGAACTGATATTAATTTTATGTGTAGATAAAGGTCTAGTCTCATGAAACTGAAGGAAAGCAGCAGGACCCTGAGGTTCTGCATGAAGACCAGTTTATAATTTATATATTTCTCCTATTTTCCTTAGAATAGTAATCATAATTTTTTGTTTCTCCTCTACATTTTCTCCAGAAAAACTTGGTTACTGAAAATTATAATCTTTCCTATCGTGTTATTTAGTGTTCATTAGTAGAATTTCTTCACTGGTGTAATCTGGGATGAATCCAGCTTCATGGTTTTTCCAGTGACAAGTTCCAGGATAAACAGGCAGTCATATCAGAAGTTGTTCTGATACTACTTTGCACTAGGAAAAATTATTTCCAAGATTTTTAAAACAATGCTCTATTTTTCTTATTTTTCATGAAAAACTGTTACCATCCAAATCTTTCTATGACTGAAAGTAGTAGTATTTTTAAAAAAAGAAAACACATGTGCATTGGTTTAAATTAAAAATCAAATATCTTTAAAATATAATAGAAATAGAAATTTTAGGATGGAAAAAGCTTGTTTATATCAGTTGCGGCTGGCTCCAGTGTCATCCCTTACATTTTCAAAATTTTTTTTAAAGGAAGAAATACTTCTACACCTGTGGCGTTACCCCTCTCTCTCTATTCATGGGATTGAAGGAGCTTTCCATGAACCAGGCATTAAAACAGTCATTCCAGCAAAAGTAATTGGCAAATTCTCAATCCGTCAGGTCCCCCACATGAACCTTTCAGTTGTGAAAAAACAGGTAAGAGACAAATCTTTTCTTTGGCCACTACTGTATAAACTAAGTCCCTCTTAGCACCTCACAACTCTAGACTTGTAAACGGAATGTTTTTAGCACTTATTTTTTTCCAGGAGAAGTAAGAATGTGGGTATATAAGGAATGTGTGAGATGAAAGACTTTTTGAAAAGTATTTTCCCTACAGGTGGTGGAACACTTGGAGGGTGTCTTTTCCAAGAGAAACAGTCCAAACAAACTGAAAGTGTCCATGCCTTTGGGTGCAAAGCCCTGGCTTGCTGATGTTAATGATCTACTATATAAAGCAGCAAGAAGGGCAATAAAAACAGGTGTGTTCCTTTTCTTTTTTTCTTTTTTCCAGTTCTTAGTGTGTTTACAAGTGCGCAGGGGCACTATGCTCAACAATAGGGCAAAACAGATTTCCCAGTTCAGTGCTGCAGCCTCTTACCCTAACAAATCTCATTGATTTTGATAGAACATCAGCATCTTCCATACCTTGCTAAATTTTGAAATGCTTTATAGAGGTAGCCAAAAGGACTCATTTACTTAATTTTGTATTGATAAGAAACCAGAGGTTTATAGAGCAGAGCTGACTTGTGAAATCAATTGGCTACATACTTAAACCCTTTTCTACTCAGAAGCTCTTAGTATCAGCTCTTTCATATATTTAAGCAATGCAGAAAAAAGTACCTGGGTTACACCTATTTATTAATTGATTTTTCCCATGTATTTCAGTTTTTGGAGAAGATCCAGATTTCATTCGTGATGGCTCAACAATTCCTGTTGCCAGAATGTTTCAGACTGTAACACAGAAAAGTGTGATGATGCTGCCGATTGGAGCGGCCGATGATGGGGAGCATTCCCAGAATGAGAAAATAAGCAGGTTTCTTTCATTTGTCTTTCTCCTATAAGAGAAGAGAGGAGAGCTGAAGCCCCTTGGTACCCATGAATGAGCATGCCCAGATGGGAAGCTTTGCTGTGCATTGGGCAGCCCAAACCTACTATCTCCTACAAGTTGCTCTGCTAAGCAGAAAGCAAAATTCCCAGTCTAATGCATAACATTATACACTTCTCACAGGGTGTCTACTCAGTCTTTAAATTCATCACACTGGAAAATTTCTTTTCACTAGCAATGAAATTTGCCTCTGGTCTGAAAGATGTTGGTGTGGACAGACACTCTTCCATCACAGTATCTATTTTGAAGTGTGCCAGTCACAGGCACTCATGATTATGTAAGGATTTTGGTGGTTTTCAGTATAAATGGTTATAAAGATTTATTTATAGTCCAGGGATCAAAAATTGCATAATTATCCAAAAACCCCCAAACTTAAACTTGTCACTGGTGTTTATTGTTGGAAGCATCATGGTAAGCCACTATTCAGTGTGTTGTCTGAACACTTGTGCAGGCTCTGAGTCAACCCATGCTGAACTCTGGAAAGAGGAGAATCCTACAGCAATTCTCAGATTACCTTTAGCCTCCCCTCATTAAAGCCTCAATGCTGCTGGCTACAGGTAATACCAATTTGGGGATGTAAACCTGGAAAAAGTTTTCTGAAGTAAATCCAGAGGAGTGCCAAACTGAAGGATGTCCAGCATTTTTGTGCACTGGGTAACTTTTGAGAGTTACCAGTCTGCAAATTCCTCTGAAGACTCATAAAACTTCGTTGGCCTATGTTCCAAATTTTAAGAGCAGGACAGCCTAACATGACTTCATTATGTTTCTTTCTTTCTTCACAGACACAACTACATTGAAGGAACCAAATTGTTTGCAGCTTTTTTCCTGGAAATATCAAAGTTACATCGGAACTTACGTGAAACTTCCCACACAGAGACTACCAACTGACAGACCATGTCAAGAAAATCAGCAAAGCACTTTGTTAAACTTTCTAACTTATATAAAACATATAAATCCCATATTCAGTGGCTGTGAATCAGTGGAAAAAATAAAAAAGAAGCCGTGCTATTTCCTGGCATACTACTAAATGGCATGCATTTGTGATATGGTCCATCAACTGATCTTATCCCTAATGCTATAAATCAGGTTAATTGTAAAATAAGGTTCATTCTTGCTCAATGGAACATGTTATGTTTTAGTTTTAAACTTCAGGACAAAGGGAATTTATACATCCATTTTATCAAAATTACTTCTGTTTTGTAGTATAACTCTTCATGCTGCCTAGCTCACATTCCAATTTCTGAATATGAGCAATACACACTGTAGTTTCCCCCTAACGATATACAAAAGTATACTTAAGTAATTCTTTGAAGAAATATCTACTATCAAATTAATATCTTTCCTTGTCCTTCACAGAAGGTTTTACGTAGGAAATGCAGTGAAATGTTCTTGTTGAGTTTGATGTGAGGATTTGCCAAATAATATCTATTTATGGGTATAATCACTGAGGTAAGTAGAACTGCAACAATAAATAAACATTTCCAGGTTTGGATTCCGCCTTCCCTGTCATGCAAATCACCTCTTACTGTGCTGTGTGCAGTTTTAAAAATCACTTCATATTTTCTTCATGTGACTTTTTTCCAAGCAATAGAAAGAGGTTTTTGTTAACATCTGTTCAGGCCAAAATCTGTCATCAGAAGGGTGTTTTCCCACCCAATTAGCATCTGGTTGTTAATTACTTGTAAAGCATCAGTTTACATTCATAATTAAGTCAAAGGCAAATGATGTATTATGAAATAAAAACAAATTAGTTGAGAGCTCTTGTTTGCTGTTTAGGCAAAACATCCAGCACAAAGCTCACAATTCAAATCTAGTTTTTTTTAAATTTTAAAATGGGATTTTTACTCTAACATAATTAATTCACACACAACCAAACCAACTGAACCAGTAGTGTTATCCCTACTGTTAAAAAAATATATATTAAGGAAATTACAGAAAGTACTCGGGATCCTTCCTTTCTCTCCCTGCAAAAATCTGCAAGAACAAAGCTGTGGATGGGGAGTCAATAGAAGAGAATACTCATACATTCTCAATAAACACCCATTTTCAGCCCTACCTGAGACTGTGAGGCTCACAGTTCAGCTGCAAGAGCTGAGTAAAGATTCTGGCTCTGGCTGCTGATGGTATTGAAGGGGAAAAGGAGGACTCAGCTCAGTCTCTTACTTGGCACTGCTGACTGCAGAACTGCACTTCATTCCAGGACAAGGACCAAAAGCCTCGGAGACCAGAAGGCTCTGGTTTACAGATCATCAACTTGCAGAAAAATTCTCTGTGATCTCTCAGTTTCCTTCACCTGTTGAAAGCATTTAGGAACCAACATGGTAATGAATGTTGCAGGGATGAGTACTCCAGTGTCTGCACAGGGCTCAGGACACATTGGTCCATGCTTCAAAGCTATCATACCACAGAGGTACATGAAGGAATTTTGCTGAAATATTTCAAGACATATAACTGACATAAAATATTGCGATCTCTGGGTTTGCAGTGGTTTTACAAGTTACGGAATCACACAGACTCACAGAATATGTCAAGTTAGAAGAGAACCACAAGGATCATTGTGACAAAGTTTTAGTCCTGTACAGAACTATCCCCAAATTAGTTTAAAACATAATAGAAAGAAACCTCTGCTTATAAATATGACCCTTTTGACAGAAGAGTTGAAAAGTTGGTGAGATGGGAGTGGCAGATTTCTTCATGAAAGAGGGATGGAGACTGTGTTTTAGCAGTATGACTGCTCTGAAATACCACTATAATAGATGCTGTCTATGTGTTCTACAACATTATGAAGTTGAAATGGAAGAGGGGCTTATGTATTTTTTACTGTTGCTCTTTGGAATGACAAATAAAATAGAGTCAAAAAAGACCATCATTTTATAAGCACTCTCTGAGCAGTGCACTGAAATAAGGTTCTGCTCTGAAATATTCACTTATTGTCAAGTTAAAACTACATGAGTGAAAGAGTGGGGCCACTGAATTATGCAGATCATCTCCATGCCTCCTTCAGTACCAGAGGAGAGAAAGAGCATAAAACTTCAATTTCAGATTCTTCTGTCCATGAAAGAAAGCAAGCATTGGGAAAGCAACTCCCACCCACAGCGGTATTTAGAGCTACTTTTTTTTTTTTAATTTTTTTTTTTAATATTTTACATCATCTTGTCAGCCTTGTGAAAAAAAGAAATTGTGTGCAATTTTTAAGGTCTGTAGTGTTATACAACATGTCTAGAAATGTCTCTTCTTGGTTGCACTTAGAGCCATTTGTTGCCACAGTAAATTAAAGATAATGCTACAATACTAGTGTTAGAAGTAGGATTAAATTTTGCTTCCAGTTGTTAGCCTTATTCTAGATGTGCCATATCCCATGTCAGAGCATATTAGATATTCTCACTAACTACAGAAATCATATGTACAATTTTGTGTTTACATGTGCACGTTTGTAGCTGTATCTGGCAGATACAAGACTGGCAAGATCTAATCCAGTCATGGATTTTAAAAAGAAAAAAATCTTGTCCATTCTGTTTCAGGTTTTTTCTTACTAATGACTGAATAATGGGAAAACAATGTGGGGATGTCCAAAAGCAGCATCTATATCTCTGAAGTCTTGATACAGATATCAAGACCTGGATGATAGGATAATAAAAGGATTTAGATTGGAAGGGACCTTAAGGATCACAGAATCATAGAATTGTTTGGGCTGGAAGACAGCTTTGGAAACCATCTAATCCAAGCCCACCGCAATAAGCAGGATCAAGCAGATCTGGCTGCTCAGAACACCATCCAAGCTGACCTTGAATGAGTCTAGGGATAGTGCATCCAACCACCTCTCAGGGCAACCTGTGCCAGTGTTTCACAGAACCCAGAACACACCTAACAGTACTAGGTGCCTATACTAGGTGGTCAAGTTCTGCCCATCTCCCTGGTAGAGGAAGACTTGTCCCAAGTTTTCCTTTTCCTTGTAGGCTGTAATCTGTGTTGAAGGGAATTGAATACTCAAGAACGGGATCATATTTTTCTACTGATTATTACTGTGAATGAATAAATTAGAACATTTTAATTTCCATTTAAAAGCAGTGCATTTAAGTGTGAAAGTTGCTTTTTTATATTAGACAAACACAGTTTTTAATCCTTAAGTAATACTCAAAAGAGAAGACTGAAAAGTGTGTCAGCTAAAATCATGGAGAATAAGATGCTGAAAATAGGAGCTGAAGGCATAGAGAGAAGAGCAGCATCCTGAAACTGAGAACTAATCAGGTCATTGTCTGCTTAGCCTGTGAAAGTGAAAATTAGACTTACTCACAAAGTTATGGTTTTCCCTTTCAGCGACACCACTCCTAAGAAGTTTAACTTTGACTCCTGCTAGTTCTTCCTTTCAGAATATAACATTTGGCTTGTTTCACACAATGTTATAAAATGCCTTGCTAGTTAAGGATGTTCATAGTCCATGTTTGGACAGGGAAGATTGTGCAACCTGTGACGCAGAGGCCCATACCACAGTGGCTGCTGCCAGTGAGACCCAGGAGTTTCCTTGTTTCTGCTGAAACATTCCAACTGCAAGTAACATGTAAACACTTATTGCTCCAAGGTGAAGCTTAACTAATTTTCAAGTTTATACTTTGTATCATATCTAGAATTGGAAGAGACCTGTAAGAATTATTGAGTCCAACTCCACGTATATCTATATTTGGAGCTGCAGACACATCATGCCCTTTAGGAGGTGCACCATTAAATATTTTTTAAAAATATATGAATAGAAAAATTGGAACAGTTTCTTGCTAACAGGGTGCATATTTGTTTACTTTGCTCTACTGCCGAGTATTTCAGTGATCTTCTCACTTGCATTCTTCCGAACAGCGTATGAAGAACGCTTCCAGGCTGCAGATAATTTTTACAAATATATAGCAAAGGTTTTTCTGCAATGCTGCTACATTAGATTACATAAAAGTAGACGAGGAAATTCCAAATGATCCCCTAACAACACAAGCATGGTGGTATGCAATCTTGAAACCTCTTTTCATATACTTTTTCAACTATGAACTTGAACCAGTGTGAGTCTTCTTCCTGAAGTCACTTAGAAGTCATTTCGCAATTTCCACTACTTTCCAAGGAGGTGAGTCACTGTCTATTGTAATGAGGGGATCAGCAGCTCCCAGTTCTCAGCTGGCTGTCACATGGAATGAGTTGTTTGGATGGAGGATAATGGAGATAGTTCCTAGTTACTTTATCTGCTCTCACAGAGTTTTAAAAATTGCAAATACCATCTGAAAACGTGCTTGCATTTTGTTAGGCAATTTCACTCAGGTTCTTCGAGTGAAACATGCCACATTCACTTACTCCACAAGGCAGGAACAACAGCTGTGGTTTTTTGTGTACTTAAAGAGATAAGTGTAAGTGCAACCACACTTCCACAGGTGTGAAATTTGGATTCTTTTTGCTATGAAACTTTACTCTTGGGAGGGGAAGAAAGCCCAACAAAACCTTGCTCCAAAGTCCACCCTGCATAAAGTGCATCCCAACAGCAAAGAAAAATGGTCACATTCATTACTTGATGAGCTTTTGAGATTTTCAGTGTGTAACTAGATAATTCTTCCTTTAGAACTAACAATACAAATACATTCTTATTTCAGTGGATGTAGTTCTAACAGGACTAGGATACGTGTGCCAGGTGGACAATACATTGACTTAGTGAAGACGAAAAATAAGGATTAAATCTCCATTTCACAAAGCATACATTTTTTGCATATTATTTTCTGATCTGCTACCGCTTTAAATCATAATGTATTGATGCATAATGTACTAGACCTAATGTTTGTATTTGAGATATATGTCTATTTGAGAAACTTGCTCTGTGAGTTTATAAGAGATTAATTATACAGTCACAGAGCTGTAAATTCTGGCAAGCTGGACATCTGCACAAGTAATACACAATACAGGGTAATAAATGACTCTCATTTTACTGCAGTGTATTATTATTAAAATTAAATAAATTTTTA